TAATTTAGAAGTTAAAAATTAAATGTAACTCTCTGCATTCCAAATACAAAAACCCATAAGTTATATTTAATTACTTTTTTATTTATGTATCATTCAGTCGTACTTAGATTTTTTTTTTAATTATTTTATACATTGCCGTCCAGTTGAAGCGGCAAAGGACAGAAACTCATAAACATTTACACAGTGAGTTTTTATTCATTATATTATGTATGTATTTACAAAAAATACTGTAATGAATTTCTTTCTAGACAACGGTCTAGTGCCCATAACGCAAACTCTGCTTACCTTCGCACTAGATGGCATTGTGTGAATTGTTCATAGTTTTTATTATTATTTCATTATTCAATAATTGTTAATTTTTAAAATTAAATAAAATATTATGAAACTTTATATAATTATTAATGGGATTATTTTAAATAGATTATTTTATTATAAGCCAATCAAGACATGTTTATTATTTTCTCATTCATATTTATATTTCAGGTTATTTTTTTATTATGTTTAATAATATTATTGTTATTTCGTAAATAATACAGTTGGTTTCTAAATAAATAAATTAAAACGAAAAATAACATATTTTATTATTCTCGTACGGACCTAAATTAATTTTATTTTGATCGTATTACGCTTATGACTCTGGCAACACTGTCTCACATATATTGTCCAAGGTATCAAAGGAGCTCATGGGTAAAGCGGACGGCCAGAACAATTATTAAAAATACAATGTTAACAACAATTAATTTGCATAAACATTGCTAATTGCAACAAATACGATAAAATATTTAATTCTGCCTAGACCTAGATAATACACAAAATACGTTAAAAAAACTATTTTAAAAAGAAGAATTTAATTTTTGATAATTTATTCTATACATATAAATAAAATTGGAGTGTCTGTTTGTAATATTGAAATAACCGTTTTTTACTACATGCATATGAATATAAATACTGTACATACACAAAGATAACATTTTTACAATTTTTGTCCGTCTGTCTGTTTGTTCCTGCTAATCTCAGAAATGGCTGGACCGATTTTGACTGGACTTTTATTGGCAGGTAGCTGATGTAATAATGAGTAACTTAGGCTACTTTTATTTTAGAAAAATTGTTTTATTTTAGAAAATAAAGTTAAATTCCACGCGGATGACGTCGCGTGTACAGCTAGTAAAATATATAAAATTCAAAAATTCCAAATATCTTTATTCATGTAGGTCTATTACAGACTTATGATATGTCAAATCTACAAACAGCATGCATTGGGTAATATAATGGCAAAAAAGATGTCCCTATATGAACAGCGCCATAGTTGTCTCTGGTCTTGATGAGTTATTTGGATTTCAATTTTAATTTAATTGAGGTGAATGGGATTGTTAGTAATGTGGACTAAAAACCCCATTGCTAACAATGTACCATGTCAGAATGACCTCCATGCGGTTTCCCCTGGAAACCATCGTGATAAACTTTTGGTGAATTTGTACGATGGGCTAACTGACCAGACCCCATTCTCATCTTATCATCCTCCACTGGTGCCCCGCCAGCGTAAACCGTTAGCACAGGAATACCATTCCATTATCATTCAATAAAAAAAAATAAAAAAAAAACTGCGTGCTAACATAACACCAAACGGAAAGTGACAGTGGTTTCTAGACAATATATGAACTACGTTTATATTTAGGTTCATATTAATTATTAATCAAATTATTGCAACTGTACCTATAATAATTTATATGCAATTGAAAGTTGTCAGATTTGCCTTCCTGTATACATACTTTCAAATTGTTATGAACAAAACTAGTCACTTATTTAATCTGTGACCTTAAAAAAGTAACGAACAAAATGGCGGGAAAAATTACAAGATTTTTTTTTCAGAATATATTTATATCTGCCTGCCAGGCTTACGTCACTTGGAACGAAGTATTTTTTGTATTAATCTGTGTAAACTTATTTTTAGCACGAGTTTTTTTTAAGAAATTATATGGATTCATTTGTTATGGTCTTATTACAAAAAATCTGTTTCGGACGAAACGTGGTCTAAATGGTCGTGGTTTTTCCTAAAGTTAATATAAACCTAACATTATTACGAATTCAGATCTAACAGAGGACTACTTAGTACTACAGTTAAATCGTTCATTATGTATTCCATACAGAAATCAGTCACTGTCTGTCACCGTACAATTACGTTCCATTTTACCAGAAAACTGAAAAGATCAAAAATAATATTTGTTCAAAGAAAAATGTATAAACTAAAAATAAATTTATTTCTATTTATCTATGTCTTCATTATAACTATTTCATTAATATATAATATTTATTAATGTACTATTATTCTGAAAATCAGTTTTAAATTACAAGTAGGAGTCCTATACGGAGAAAAGGAACGGCGAGATATTTTTATTGGATCGTTCGAATGATGACTATTTCAAAGTCAAATGAGTGAAAAAATAACAATTAACGTCTTTTATATGTTTTTATTGTCGTAAAATTTGCTTTAAATATTTTTAGTTAATATATTTTTAATTTAGTTAAAATATTTTTCCAAAAACTACAGCTAATAATAGAATTTTTAAAATGGAGTTTGTATTTTTGCGTTTAGACCACTGTTAAACTAGGGGCATCGCAGGTCTAACTTTATAGACGAATCACGATTTAGAGATAAACTTCATTTTGTAATAAGGAATACATTGGTGAATGGTTTATTACTAGTACTAAACCAGATTTATCTTTTTGTAATAAGGCCGTTGTTGTAGTCTAGTTGAATAGGCCAATTGTTCTGTGCTGTCTTTACCAAGTAATATGCGTTTATTAGTTTTTTGGATGATAATGTCCACCCACCTTTGCTAATAGAGACTTTGAAATAGTTATTACGTTTGTGTCTTCGTTAATGAAACCACAGATAACATAATATTACATAATGTAACTAAAGTACGACAAATTATTTTTGACTTATATTATTTTTTTAAATAATGTAATAAAACACTTTTTTTTAATAAACATAAACCTGTATTTTTGGGTTAAATCAAAATTTTGTTTTTTCCTAGACATACATATAGATATTCTCAATAATTCTAATGAATGAAAGTCCAGAATCAAGGGGATTTTTAGTAATATAAATTTGTGACTAGCAATGTTATGTCAGGTCGACCTCCAAGTTTTTCTCCCTACATCCTTTAATTGCTTTAAAAAAACCACGGCTATTGAAAAGTCTATCGAAGCTAAGAACGAATCGCTACTTCGAAGCGCTACATGATTATTAGAATATTGGCGAAGACAAGCCGTAACTTCTTAACATGATTTAGATGGCCGCGGGTTCGATTCCTCACACGATACAAAGGTTTGTATTTATGAATATGATTGTATTGGTCTGAGTGTATTCTATATGGTATATATTTCGTATGTTTTTACAAACAAATGTATCTAAGTTGGATATACTTAGGTAGGTTTTTTTATAGTGCCGTTGTCTAGTACCTACCCACAACACAAGCTCAACTTAGCTTGGGAATAGATGGCGCTGTGTGCATTGTCCAGGGATATTATTATCATTATATTATCCATTGACGACCTCGGTGGTCTAGCGGTCTAGCACACTGCTTTACGACCGATGGTCGCGGGTTCGATTCCTCGCACGGCCCAAACAATTTGGATTCATGAGTATGATTGTTTGTATCGGTCTAGGTGTTTTCTATGTATAATATGTATGTATTTACATAAAAAAAATATCTATGTATATGTATCAGTTATCTAGTTAACACATATTATCCATTAGATGGAGCTGTGTGAATTGTCCTGATATAAAAAAAATAAAATGTGTTCAATAAAATTTGCATACATTTATGCCTGTAATATTTAATTAAATGCCTCAAGTTATAAGAAATCAAAATATATATAAATCCTATTCTAAAATTATAAAATAAAAATATTAAAAACAGACAACAATCTAGAAAAATTAAAAACATAATTTTAATTAATTTCTTATTTCATTTTAGTAAGTTATTTAAAATAAGATACCAAATATATATATATATATATTGGAATTACCCTTAATTATTAATTAAATAAATTAAAAACATCTGTTAAATCATATTTACTGAGCAAGGCCTATTACTAAAACTTACTTGAATTATGAGTGTGCATGGCAATAGTTGTTCTTGCACGGGATTTTCATTTAATGTTAGACATAGACACCTATATAAATACCTATTCATTGTAAATAAACTAGCTTTTAAAAAAAAGTAATTCAATTAAGTAAATAAATGCTTTTTGAATTTCGAATTTTGTAATAAGTAATATACAAATTTTTCTTATTACGGTAAATTAGGTAAGTTTAATTGTATCTATATACATTTTATTTGATTTCTTTATTGTTCGCGTGTTTATTTTTTATATTATAACATTGTTGGAAAGCACTGAATAAAATATTTATCTTTCTTTCTTTCTATTATTATGTATACATTATAATTACATGTTTTATAACAAAAACAAAATATGTGCCTGCATACAATCCCCGACAGAGATTTGCAAGACAAAACAGTAAATTATTAATTTAAAAAATAAAGTTTTTTATCTATGTACCTATCATATAGATACTAAATAGATATTATACAAAAAGATGTATGTAAATATTGTTCACAAAACTACTTACGATTTTAATCAAACACGAGGTAAACCAAGGCAACATTTAGCTTGGTCATAAAACAAACAACTATATTATATGAATTTAGAAAGATTCAAATTAAATAATTACGACAAATGAAACTCATTTTATATTATAATATTGTGTAATTTATTTAACTTATTTTGTGGGTAATTTGTTATTTTGCATTACAAAAGATCCGCTATGAATTTAGATCGGATGCGGCCACTTATTTTATATGCAGTTCTAATAAAACGATGCATTGTTTCAATTAATTATTTTGTTAACAATATCACCTGATATAATTATAGAGTAATCAATATGAATTAGTAATTATTAATCTGTTGCCTCTTTATTGTAGAAAACTTACCCTGTTCTCTTTTCGAAAATTAAAACTGGAACGTACTCCAAGAAAATAGCAACACTACACTTAAAAAGTATTATCTCAATGGTCAATATTTTTGAAATTAGAACCAATTAAATAACACTTCGCCACAAGTACTATACGTTTTCGCGCGTAAATTTACTTGTCTGTGGCTATTTTATTTTTTTAAAATCAAAGCACGCTAGAGGCAAACGCGGCACCCGCCGCGTCTACTGCAACTGAACGTTGTTAGTTAACCTTGCTTTTTAAATAACTTCATAAAGTTATATCATTGGACAGTTACTTTACATCGTAACTATGTTGAGTTGAACTGTTGTTTCTCTATTACCGCTGGGGTGGTAAAGGGTCTATCAATTATGGACGGTTCTATCAAACTGGAATAAATTCTGCATCCTGGTCTATTTGCAAGTGTAATAAAATGAAATACGCAACTAGATTTAAAATTTATCTTTTGTCTATGGCTTGACTTTTATTTAATAGTTCTTTTTATGAAACTGAATGCTGAGCTACAAGTTTTTAATTTACTTCTGCAATGGATGTTACATATTTTAATTTTTTGTTAACAATTTTTGCGGACATTTTAAATACTTAAATATTATTATAAAAATTATAGTCAATTAAATTTTTAAGTACCACTTTAAACGTTTTATTTTAATTATCCTTATCTTAAAACAATCTCTATAGGTACTAGGATATATACGAGGATTTACACAAAATAATATTATTTTGCGGTTAAATGAATGGTTAACTCGTAATGTCAAATTAAGGGTGGACAACAAATATTTATTACTTACTTGCTGTTACCCGCACTTTGTCTGGAATCTAACTTTTTTTATTAAACCAAATAAAATTTCTTAAAATTTCTGTAACATATGTAATATTAGTTACTGCTTATAACATTAGCTGTGTGTGAAAGTCCTGTCACAATTGGTCCAGACGTTTCAGAGATTAGCAATAACAAGCAGACAGACAGACAAAAATATATTAAATTATTTGGTGAAAAGCTGATAATTTGAAATTTTTATATATTTGTATAGATTATATGAAAAATACCTAGAACAATTACAATTGTTTTCTTATATACCTACGAGAATCGAATCCCCAGTTAGTATAGTAGTTCTCTAATATGCTACACTGGTAAGGTCTTCAAACTCCATCAGCTGGCAGGTGAAAAATATGGTTTTGCCCTAGTACCTCAATTTACCTAACGTATCGTCGCATCCGTCAGACGGGAAGTTGGCTTTCAGCCGCTCCATAAGTCCTTCCGCGGGTTTGGAGTGCCATCTGCACTCGCCCTCTATCGTCCGGTGAAGCTGTAAAGCCAGCTGCGGCCAACAGCATTAGAGTAGTCCGAAAAATCTCAATTTTCACGCACGTTACAGAACGCCCGTAATCACTCAATGGTTGAAATTCGACCATAATTAATTTAATATTAACTAAGATTATAGAAAAATAATATTAAAGACAAACAATATTAATGTATTCTGAATTTTGCCAGAGATTTCATTGCATAGTATAAAACAAAGTCGCTGTAGCTGTCTGTCCGTCCCCATGTATGCCTAAATTTCTAAAACTACACAACGGATTTTGAAGCGATTATTTTTAATAGATAGAGTGATTCAAGAGGAAAAGTTAAAGTTTATATATATAATACATGTACACCTACACATACATGTAGCTAGTTAACAATAAACAAGAGTATATATAAGATATATACGTCTATGTGTGTCACATATATGGTATGGTTAATGTGTATGGTGTGTGTGGTGGTTTTTTGGGTAACTTAATGGTTTTACAGTAATTTTTATTAGGATTTGTTCTGCATAATTAACAATAAAATTTTAGCATTTTGCACTCCTTTATATAAACTATAAATGTGCAAAATTTCATGTTTCTCCATACGCGCAATTTTCGTAAAAGGATGTACTAAAGTTTTTGCTTCACGTATAGTATTCCCATAGATGGATTTTCATTGAAGATTGTATGTATAGTTTTAATTTCAAATACGTTACGATATGCGTTAAAAAGTCCATCACAGTGGAATAAAAAAATGGAGGCACTTAGTTTTTTTATTTTTTTTTTGTCATGGTTTGGCAATGTGGTGATTTGCCAACATAAAAAAGTACTTAGTTACTATTTTTAAAGTCCGCGTTTTCATCGACTTTTATTTTCACCATAGACAATAAAAACTGCAGACACCACGCTCACGAAGCGTGAAGGAGAAATTAAAAATAATAATTAAAACCTAAGTTTTAATTAAATATTTGGACAAAAAGTTCAGAAATAGGACAGTCGTGTGCATAGCGTGAAGTTATGGATGGGTTGTTGGGGTCGATAGGTATCGAAAAAATATAACTTTATAGTTCAACTAACTATATTGGTACTTAAAAATTCTAATATATCGGATACCAATATTTAACAGAGATAGACTGTATAAAGTCCTCTGCATGTGTAAGATATATCAATTCTATGTACTAGTAAAAGTAGTGTATAAATATAAATAAGCTAATTTTACCTAAATGCCGTCTGCACAAAATCAGTAATTCATTCTACGGTAATTGCGTAAGATTTTATAATAAACTGCCAGAATCTGCACTAAATCTGACAGAGAGACAATTCAAATCTTATATTAAACAATTTTTGTGTAAGAAAGCCTATTACAGGATAGACGAATTCATAAATGACAACATATCAAGTAAATAATTAGTTTATTAGCATACAACGTTATAATTTAATTTTCTCATTGCTTTCTTGATTTAATTATTTTAGAAATATGAAAGCGTAGTGGTTTTTACATTGATTGCCGCATGCATTCTTATGTGAATAACTCAAATTCAAATTCAAATTCAAAGCCTTTATTAATTGACACAAAATTATACAAGCTATCGTAATATTTGATTAAAAGTTTAAAATATAAAAGAAACATTAGTTATATATACATTTTATGTTACTTCTAGTTCTGCACATCAGTCTCTGAGTCGAATATGTGTGTATGTATATGTGAATAACTATCAGATGGCAATTGATTATATATTCAATATTTTCTCTATTTCAGTATTTAATTGAATTAGTGCTAATTGGTAGTTTGTATTCACACACTTAAACTTAAAAATGTAAAGTAATAATAAAATTATTCAAAAGAGTAACACGCAAGTTTCTTGCTCGTTCTTCTTGTGATGAGACAGCTTTCCGAATGAGCGGTAGATTAAAAAAATGTAATGACTATTCAAAAGTGCTTCAATGTAAGTTTATTTGAATAAATGATTTTCTATTCTAATCTATTCACTTTAAATCTATTATGCCAATATCAATTGTCACGACTATAGCGCCCTATGTTTTTTTAACATCACTTTAGGTGTTCAGGAAACTAGTCATACCGCCAATTGAATTAAATTGAATACAGCAAAAAAACGATAATTTGATAAATAATAAAGATACTGTAGAATTTTATGTGCATTTTTTACCAACTATTACAATGAGGAGGTTCTCTAAACTCAGTTTTTATGTTATGCGATGTTCGATAAAACTAAACTAATTTTGATAGTGTAGTATATATGTACTTATATTATTCGATGAATGTAAATACTGAACAAATTTTGATGGTGTTAGGTAGTTGATATTCCGCTAATGTTGGCCCCAAATTTCAGTCTAAATTAAATTCGAAGAAGTTTTTAAGTATGTTTTCAACTTTTGACGGCCGCGATGGTTTAACAACTCACTTTACTACCGATGATCGCGGGTTTGATTTCTCGCACGGAACAAACATTTGTATTTATGAGTATGATTGTTTATATCGGTCGGGGTGTTAACTATGTATGCATCCTTTCTTAGGGGATGCCTACGTCATAGTAGCCTTTTTTTTTTTACGGATAATAATGGGATGGTGCAACCGCCTGCGCTATCGGTTTACGCTGGCGGGGCACCAGTGGAAGATGCATGCAAGTCTCAACCTGATCGGTTTAAAATTGACAAATTTCATACAAACTTTCATCCCCTATTTTATCCCCTTTGGGGTAGAATTAATCAAAATCCTTTCTTAGCGGATGCCTACGTCATAACATCTACCTGCATGACCTTCAGCCCGATCCGTCCAGTGGTTTAAGCTGTGCGTTGATAGATCACTTCATCAGTCACCTTTGAGTTATATATATTTAGATTATTTATATCAGTCAACTTGTATCCCTAACATAAGGGACTAGATGGCGTTATGTGAATTGTTCAGGGATACTATTGTTCTAAAAAAATCTAAGTACATATGTATATAAAAAGTTTTTTTTTATATATATTTCTTCTCCCAAGTAGCTGTCCACAGGTCGACCTCCTTATGGCCTCTGGAAACCATTATAGTTAATTCCTCAGCACATACCTACCATCACGAACCACCGATGAGTTCATTGAACCCTTCACGCACGATTTACTCTAATATACCAGGTCATCTTGCGTTCATGACACAAATACGTGACAACACCACAGATAATGTATGTAGTATGTACGGCTAAAATGCTTAATCACAATCAAATGCAGAAATACCTAGTAGAATTATAAAAATTACTTATCTAAACCCACTATTTCAGGTTAATATGTTTATTGATTTTGTTAAAATAGAATGCATATTTTAGATAATTTCGTTTTAACATCTTTATTGAATTTTTAAAAATAAAACAATTTTTATGATAATTTCATTTTAACAAGTTTATTGAATTTTTGAAAATGGAATATAATTTTTTGATAATTCCGTTTTAATATGTTTATTGAATTTTTAAAAATAGAATATACGTTTTGATAATTCCGTTTTAACATGTTTATTGAATATTTAAAAGTAGAATATATTTTTTTAACAATTTCGTTTTAAAACGATTATTGAATTTTTAAAAATAGAATATTCGATTACGTCTATATTTAAAAATAAATAAATGTTTATTGAATATTATGAATATCTGCGGCAACCTGACCATCATGTAAAGTAATTACCACTTCTCTGGTCTTCCCAAATTGACTACCATCTGAAGTAAATACCATTGTATATTGAGCCACAATAGGTTATTGGAGTACCTCTGCCTAACCTATTTCCTAATTGTAAAAGAAAAATACGTTTATACTATATATCT